TCCGAGCTGGGGGAGGAGGCGGGGGGGTGGAGGAGACGGAGGAACCGGCGGGATGGCGGGGGAGAGCTTACCTGCTCCTGCTGGTTCCTCCGGCTGCTGAGTTTGGCGCCCCCCCGCCCCCCCCCCCGCAAGTTTCGCGGGTCTTCTTTCTTGTTTTATTATAATTTTTAATGTATATTATATGTTGTACGCCACCCTGAGTCCCGCGTGCAGGAAATGGAGTGGGATAGAAATCAAAGAAACCAAATAATCCCCCTCCCCTATTTAACAGTTCACTTTCCAAGGCTAACATGGCGCTGGGAACCTCTTACTTGCTTTGGGACGTTTCATTCCATCTTAAGAAAAGGGCTACTCTGCAACACCAAGTGAATAGCAGTAATACTTAGCATTGCGTATAGTATTTTGTTGGAGTGTTCAGAGTGCTTCATGCGCACTATTTCAGTGGCCTTAACAACAGTTTTGTAAGGTGGGCCTGTACTGGGTGGGCATGCTTCAAGGCTACCGAGTGAGATCGTGGTAATTTAAGGGGGGGGGGCTTTCAATTTATAAGTCGTATTTATATCAGCACAGATGCCATCAGGGCTGTGTTAATTCCCCTCTGTGTACGAGAACCACGGAAGAATTTTACTGAGCACCAAGCTGAGCTTAGAAAGGGATTTCCACCAGTAACAGGAGCGGCGGAACCTTTAATGATCTTTTCATGGAGGATCTCCTGTTCAGCTTTAGGGTTTCCCAAACATGGATTGGGGCCAGACATTGAATTGTTCTCGGGGTTGACTTTTGGTGCATGTCAGATGGGTGAAGAGATCAGGTCTTCGGTCATTCCATAAAGGCCCTGTAAGGCAAAGTTGTTCTGCCAGGCGTTTGGTCAAGGACAGTGATGGTTCACAATACGGCTGGCACCCTACCTGGATCCCTTTTCCTTGTGGAGTTCACTCCCTCCCAGGCCCGTAGCCAGGATTTCTCTTGTTCAGGGGCACTTAAATTTTAAAGGGGGCAGTCAACTTACAGTTAATTAAATTCATCTGAATCCCTGTCTTTAAAGGGGTGGGGGCTGTAAGCCTTTCCTTTCAAGGCACAGGGCAGCAGGTGCATCGGTTCTTAGGAAAAAACAGCTCAGAGGGCATTTAATTGCCTTCAGAAGGTATCTAAATGCCTGTTGAGTTCCCTTTCCACAGGGCAAGAAAGTTTAGAAGGGCACTCAAGTCAAGAGTGGTACCTTCAGTACATCTCCCACAATCCCCCTTTCTGCTAGACCAGTCCTGCTGTATACCACCTAGGTCATGGTGAGTCTTTCAAAAGCATTCCCATGAGCCTTTGTAAAAGGTAAAGGTTTCCCTTGCTTGAAAGCCAGTCGGTGGCTCAAGTGGTTGAGACGCTGAACTGCAGGCTGGAAGGTCGGTAGTTCAGCAGTTCGAGACCCGAGTGCCGCAGCTCCTGCCAACCTAGCTGTACGAAAGCAAGAAATTGCAAGTAGATAAATAGGTACCGCTTTGGCGGGAAGGTAACAGCATTCCGTGCGCCTCAGCGTTTAGTCATGCTGGCCACATGACCACGGAAATGTCTTTGGACAGGGCAGGCTCTTCAGCTTGGAAACGGAGATGAGCCTTTGGGAAATGTGCAAAAATAAGATTTATGGCATGGCTATTTGTGGGGCGAGGCTTTTCATCAAGGGGGCGGGGCCCTGAAATGCCCCACTGTAGCTACGGGCCTGCTCCCTCTCTGTGCTTACGAAGTGCTCCCGGATCGGGTGTGGGAGGGAACCGCAATAATTTTTCTCGCCATTTGCTTTTGATTATTGTATAATATGCTGGATATGGTTTTATGGTTTTAAAATTTGTGCATTGCCTAGAGCTCCACAATTGATAAATGTAATGTAATAAAGAATAAAGGCAGGATTAGGGGTAACCCTCCTGATCCCAGTGACAGGACAGAGACATTGCTATAAAAATCCCCTCTTCTCTGCCCTTCAAGACGCTGCTTCCCGCGGCCAGCCTCCTGCAGCTGAACGGGGTGCGGGACGCCTGCTGCAAGTTCCTCCTGAGCCAGCTGGATCCATCCAACTGCCTGGGCATTCGGGGCTTCGCGGACACACACTCCTGCAGCGATCTGTTGAAATCGGCCCACAAGTATGTCCTGCAGCACTTTGTGGATGTCTCCAAGACGGAAGAGTTCATGCTTCTGCCCCTCAAGCAGGTAGAGCCATCACTGCTGCTCTTGACAGTGGCTTCAGGTTTCTTTGATGCTGCAAGTAGTTTTAGTTTGTGTGCTTTAACCGCAATTCAGGGGCCATTACTCGGTTGCGCAAATCAGTCTGCCAAAATTGCTGTCCTACTGGCTTATACTTAATGCTGTTGTTTAGGGGCAGGAAAACAACATAACTTCTTTAAAGGCACCTTCCTTGCTCGTCTGGAAGCAAAATTTTACTCATCGTAGGTGACCAAGTAGGTAATAAGTAGAGAAGTAGAGACTGGATTTATACCCCACCCTTCACTACCCAAAGGAGTCTCAGAGCATCTTACAATCTCCTATCCCTTCCCCTCCCCACAACAGACACCCTGTGAAGTAGGTGGGGGCTGAGAGAGGTCTTTCAAGTACTGTTCTTGAGAGAACAGCTCTGGAAGAACTTGTGACCGACCCATGGTGACACCAGCAGCTGCATGTGGCGGCGGGAGGAATCAAACCCAGTTCTCCCAGATTAGAGTCCACCCTCCTAACCACTACACCAGACTAGCTCATAACCATTACACCAAACAAGATTTGCTGTTATCTCAGGGTTGCAGTCTTGGAGTTGTTAGCCTGAAATAACAACCCATGTTTACAAGATCAAGGAACTTCAGGGTCGGGGAGATTCTTAGTGTGTCAGAAGGGTTTTTGTGTGTGTGTGGGGGGGGGGGGTTTAAGTTAGGGAAGTTTTTGCAGCTTAGTAGCCAAATCTTTTTTACTTTCCAGGCCCAGAGACAAAGCTGTACAGCTGAGGGACAGGGGGGCTTGCTGACCTTATGAGGTGTCAGCAGTTAATTAAAATGCAGTCAATGTTTCCATGAGGCCTTCTCTGGCGCGACGCCAGTTTGGCCTGAGTTTGCCCTGAGCTGCACTCCCATACTTGACAAGGCACGGCAGGCCCTTCTGTAGATGGGGAGATATGAGAAGGGCTGCTAAAGGAATGAGCCTGGCTCTGTGGTACAGTGTCTGCTTTGCCTGCAGACGGCCCAGGAGTTCAGTCCTTGGCAGCTGAGAAGATCGAGTTCAAAAGGTCTCGGGTGCGAGGGACTGTCTCACTGCCAGCTGGGGAAGGCAGGCCACTGGTCTAATTTATACAAGGCAGCTGTTCGTATAACTAGTTTCACCATTACACAGTTGAGAGGATTCGTTTTCTCTGAGATCTGAGCTCTCGTATCGAGTGCAGCCTTCTTTGTATTGAGTTAAGGGGTGTGTGTGTGTGTGTGTGTGTGTGTGTGTGTGTGTGTTTTTAAAAAATCAAAGTGTTTTAGCTTGTATGGAGTAACAATTAAAAACTAGCACCTGCAGAAATCTTAATGCCTAGAAAAGGGCTGAGAAGGATTTTTGGGGGCCAGAGGAAAGAGATGATGATCCAGGACTTTGTACTCCTTTTCCCCTTTCCCCCAAACCCATAGGTTCCTTCCTTCCTTCCTTCCTTCCTTCCTTCCTTCCTTCCTTCCTTCCTTCCATTTATACCCCGCCCTTCCCACCAAAGCAGGCTCAGGGCTTTGCCCTTTGAAGCCCATGAATGCACGAAGTTGCATTCATCAGATCAGTTCATCAAGGTCAGTATTGTCTACTCTGATTGGCGGCAGCTCTCCAGGGTCTCAGGCCAGAGGTCTTTCACATCACCTACAACCTGACCCTTTTTTTAAACTGGAAATGCCGGGGATTGAACCTGGGACCTTCTGCAAGGCTGTAACCTGCTCTCCCACTGAGCCACGGGCTCTCCCAGTCTTAAGCTCTGCCCCCTTGCATTCCCCCCCCCTCCACTCCTTTCCAAATTCTTTGAAAAAGCAAGTGTTTTGAGGGAAATTTTTAAAGTAAAATATGCGGGTTTTGGTCTGGCACCCTGGAGCACAGAGTTGCACAAGCACTGATAGGTGATGCCTGAAATAGACGTTGTTCAGATCCATTTCCCCTTCCGCTCTGATCTCTGAACTAACCCACATTTCCCTCTCTGCAGGTTCTGGACCTCATCTCCAGTGACAGCCTGAATGTGCCCTCTGAAGAAGAAGTCTATCGGGCTGTCCTGAGCTGGGTCAAGCATGATGTGGACAGTAGGCGGCAGCACATTCCCAGGGTACGTGGTCCGGTGCAGGTTTTGGTTCTGTTCGGATGGGCAAAGCATTCCTTTGTCTGTCCTCTGTAACCTGTTTCATGTGACCAACAGAACGAGCCATGTGGACTCTCTGTGTGGTCTGTGAAAGAGGATTGTGATATTTTATTGAGAATTTTAGCTGTCCTTGCCCCCCTTGTCAACGCTTCTTAACCCATGGTGGTTCATTTTTGTTTGGTTGTTTCTTGGAAGCTGCATTTTAAAGGCTGGAGGTAGTACTTTGTGTTTGGTTGTCATTGTGTTTGTGAAGTTCCGTCATGTCTTTTCTTCCAGCTGTCTTTTTGTTTCATTAGCCTGGATATCAAGAGCAATTTTAAATAGTTACGACAACTGCAATGCTAGAGCCTTTGCTGATATGTTTAAGTGCCTTTTAAAAAATGTTTCTCCACATGCCGCCAACAAACTATGTATTTTTATGGGCCTTTTTTGATATTGGTGGTATTGTGCTTTGAGAAGACATTAAATAAAAATTATTTTTTTAAAAAAAGAGCCACATGGGGGCTTCTTCCTTTCTTTTCACCAATGGAGGCCTTTCCTGACAGAACAACCAATTTATGTTACTTTACTGTGGCCTAATTGTCGTCCTTCGCCACTCTGAATTTATTTAAAGATAATGCAGAGTATAGATGCTCTAAATAAATTTTTGTTGGATTCTTTTAGCAGAGCTACATTGCGTAGTAAAAATAAGGTGGACACAAACATGTGTGTATATTAGCTTATAATAAAAGTTTACTAGAAAACAAGGGAAGGGATACGTGGAATAAAATAACAAATACCCCAACTAACTAGTGTCCATCTTCCTGGTTTGTTTGCTCAGACTGGTGTCTGTGAGAGAACAGAGGAAGAGAAAGTTTCCCCCAGAAGGGCCACCCCCTGTGTACATGCCAGACTGCATGTAGCATCCTCAATAAATTGATTAGCCAATAGACATTCCCCAGCTCATCTTAATTAGGAATGACACCTCCCCTTCACTGGCTGGGGGAAAAGTGCCTAACATCTAATTGGTTATAAGCTATCTAACTAACATTAGTATGCATAAAGAACAAGTTAACTCTTTCATGACTGAAATGGCTGACACTCGCATAACCTAACCATTTTTTGAGGTGGGTTGCCACACAGGCCTTTTCTCCCTACCATAAACAGTTAATGCAGATTTTATTTAATAGGCAGGGATGGTATGGGGAAGTCAGGAATTGGAAAGGCTGAGGTAAACGTTTTTGGTAAAACCATATATTTTTCAGTTGCTAGACTAGATGGTGTTGAAGTAGCTTATTTTCACAAATTCTTGGTTCTTATCAGTGAGAGATGGTTGACTGAGTACTTAAGTTACAGTTACAATGTTTCTGCATTTTCCTAATAACTGTTCAGGTTTTCTGGAAGGGCCACTCTTGTAGTGTATCAGATTCTTTCCCCTTTTCTGAAATCACACTGTGTCTTCTTTCCCTTGAGTAGTCTATCACCGTTTCCTTTCACAACAGATCAGGGACCAGTGTTCCCTCTAAGCTGAGTTACTGTGAGCTTTTTTTTAGCCCCGGCTCACACATTTTTGCCTTTGCTCAGGAAGGATGGCTCCAGAGCAAACTAATTTATGCAGTAGCCAAATTGCTTGCTCACAACTTGAATGCCAGTAGCCCACAAAGTAGAATTCTTGCTCACAAGACTCCACAGCTTAGAGGGAGCATTGCCAGGGACTGCCTCAGTGCCCATTCCCTGTGTAACTGGACAGGACTTCTATTTCTTCCCTGAAAATATAATCCTATTCTTTTTGGCCTGATTGGGAGTTTCAGCCTGCTACCCAGTCTCTCTTTGCCGAAACCTCAAACCCCAGTTCTTGGCATCTGTGTGAAAATGTACTTAAGCGTAAACTGACACTAGACTCTGAATTCTTCGATGGAATTCTTTCTCAGGATGTGTTTAACACAGCTCAGAACAGGAGTGCTCCTGCCAATATGGAGGAAAGACACCTGTCTGCAGTGGTCAGAATGTTGGGTTGTGATGTGAGAAACTTGGGACCAAATGCCCACTAAGCCATGAAGCTCCTTGTGGGTGGTACTGGAAAGATCATGGTCTCTGATCGGAGCCAACCTCTTAGGGAGTTGTTGTCTTTTATCCTAGCCTCTGTGTGTTAAGTGCCATCAAGTGCTTCCGACTTATGGAGACCCTATGAATTAATGACCTCCAAAATGTTCTGTCGTTAACAACCTTGCTCAGGGCTGTGGCCTCCTTGATTGAATCAATCCATCTCATGTTGGGTCTTCTTCTTCACTTGCTGCCTTCAAATTTTCCTTTTCTTTTCCAACTGCCTTCAACTTTCCCAGTGACTCTTGTCTTCTCACAGTGTAACCAAAATATGATAGCCTCAGTTTACTTATTTTAGGTTCTCAGGGTTGTTGTTGTGAGGTTATTGAGGGAGAACCCAGCGTATTTCATTTCTTGGAAGTGACAGCAGAAATTAGGAGGGGCTCCGTAAGATTTATTTTTTCACGGTGACTGCTGGGCAAAGTAATTCCATATGTCTTGCCGCATGGAATTACTTTCGCGGCTAAACTTTACCCATGAAGAATGTTGCAAGAGAAATGTCACTTCGCAGCAATTCCTCTGCTGCCTCAAAAATGATCCTAATTTTACCTTAAACACAAGGAGATTTTTCTCTTTTCTGATTGTGCCGTATTATAAGCCCCCTGTGTGGGTGAAAGTAATACGACAGAAAACCTAATTTACCCCATTAGTAGTGTGTCAGATAGATAGATAGATAAATTGATTGATTGATTCACCCTTCTAAGTTTAATGAAGCCAGTGTTTAGAGGGGTGCAGCTTTGCATAGGATTGCTTTGCCAAGTTTAACTGAATCTTATGGGGGGGGTCATACTAGACCCCACTACCCTCAGCACTACTGTGCACTTTTCAGGAATCCAAGGCCCTTGGTCATAGCCCGGCCTCTCCTGCTATCTATGTTTCTTTCTCTTTGCTTCCATTGAATCATAGAGTGGAAAGGGACCTCCAGAGTCATCTAGTCCAATGCAGGAAATCCACAAATACCGTAGTGGCCGCTGTTCCATGCCCAGAAGATGACAAAAAACCTCCAGGATCCCTGGCCACACTGCCCTGGAGAAAAATGGCTTCCTGATCCCAAAGTGGCAATCGGTATTTCCCTGGGCGTGTAAGAAAGGGCCACAAGAACTAAGCACTGATGCAACCTTCCCTGCCCTCCCTCTCATGATCTGCCTAAGTTCACAGATCTCTTTTGTTCCCTACTTGGTGCCTAACCTTCAGAATTGTACCATAGTGAGAGTTACTGGACCTCCAAACTGCCACACAAGACTAGGCCAGGGAAGGTTTCAGACTGTGGAAGTAGGACCATTCAGCTCTTTTACATTCATGTTTTTTTAAATGCTGATGATTTTAGTGAATTAAGGCTGATGATTTTATGGATTTTAATTTAATTTGTAAATCTGCATTAATTGCAACTATATATATGTCATTACCCGCCCTGAGCCTACAATGGTGGGGAGGGCAGGATACAAGTCTAATGAAATAAATAAATTAATATAAATAGAAAGACCGAAGTGGATAGGCTGTGCCTTAAAAAAAATCAAGATGGCGGACACTGTGATTGACAAAGTGGTATTGGGAACAGATGAGACCATTATAAGAGTGGATTTGTTTATACCCTGACTTTTTTTCAATTATGGAACTCAAGGCAGCATATACAGTTTGCATATATAGTTTCCTATCCAGACACTGACCGTGTCCAGATCTGCTTAGTGTCACCATGGTAGCTACATCACATGACTTCAGAACATCCCCCTTTGGGGTCCTGAGTCCCTCAGGAAGCCTCCGGTGGTTGTCTTTTTCCTTGAGCTTTGTGAAGAGGAAGCCAAGAAATCACCATACAAGTTGTACATTTTTAATCACCTGCGTACCAGCAAGCGTCTAGAAGAGGCGTTGTTTGACGAGAAGTGAGGGGACACCACCCTGATTTATAGACAGGCGTTTCTCAGTCCCGCCTGTCCACACACAATCTGTATGTGACTCTTGTTCCTTACCGAGTCTTCTTTCTTCGTAGCTCATGAAGTGTGTCCGGCTGCCCCTTCTGAGCCGTGACTTCTTGATGAGCAACGTCGACACGGAACTGCTTGTGAGGCACCATTCAGAGTGCAAGGACCTTCTGATCGAGGCCCTCAAGTATCACCTCATGCCGGAGCAGAGAGGGGTCCTCAGTAACAGCAGGACACGACCCCGGCGTTGCGAGGGAGCCAGCACCGTGCTCTTTGCTGTGGGTAAGGAGCAGTGGCCAAGTCCAGGAGCCATGGGGAAGGGTGTTTGGATGGTGGGCTGGATGGTGAGGAGGTGTAACGGATGGCATGGTCTTTGGCCTCGTGCTGAGCAGTGAAGGGGTGCTCCCCTCAGAGCCACTAATTGCTGGTCTCATCATCTTTATCAGTTTGTAGTAGATAGGGCAAGACTGTATGATATACCATCTACCGTTTTGGGGTAGTGGTTTGGTGTAGAGCCAGTTTGGTGTAGTGGTTAGGAGTGCAGACTAATCTAGAAGAACAAGGTTTGATTCCCCAATCCTCCACATGCAGTTGCTGGTGTGATCTTGGGTCAGTCACAAGTTCTCTCAGAGCTGTTCTCAGAAGAGCAGTTCTCTCAAAGCTCTCTCAGCCCCACCTACCTCACAGGGTGTCTGTTGTGGGGAGGGGAAGGGAAAGGAGGTTTTAAACCGCTCTGAGACTCCTTCAGGTAGTGAAGGGCCGGGGTATAAATCCAATCTCTTCTCTTGGGTCAGTCACAAGATCTGGCACAGCTGTCCTTGAAAAAGAGCAGTTTGTGTCAGAGTTCTCTCAGCCCCACCCACCTCACAGGGTGTCTGTTGTGGGGAGGGGAAGGGGAAGGATGCTGGGAAAGACTGAAGGTCGAAGAAGACGGGGACGGCAAAGGATGAGATGGTTGGACAGTGTCATGGATGCAACGAACATGAAATTTAGCGGGCTTCGGAAGACGGCGGAAGACAGGAAGGCCTGGCGTGATCTTGTCCATGGGGTTGCGAAGAGTCAGACTCGACTGTGTGACTGAACAACAAAATATGATATTTGATGGAACTTGCCCTGAGCCTGCTATGCAGGGAGGGTGAGATACAAATCTAATAAAATAAATTAAAATAATGTCTCTCCCCCGCCCCACTCCCTCTCAGCTGTGGAGTCTTGTGAGCAAAAATTCTACTTTGTGAGCCAGTTTGGTGTAGTGGTTAAGTGCGCGGACTCTAATCTGGGAGAACCGGGTTTGATTCCCCACTCCTCCACTTGCACCTGGCTGGATGACCTTGGGCAAGCCATAACTCTGGCACAGCTGTTCTTGAAAAAGAGCAGTTTCTGTCAAGAGCTCTCTCGGCCCCACCCACCTCACAGGGTGTCTGTTGTGGGGAGGGGAAGGGGAAGGAGTTTGTAAGCCGCTCTGAGACTCCAAGTGAAGGGCGGGGTATAAATCCAATCTCTTCTTCTTCTCTTCTTCTTCTTCTTCTAAATTGATGTAAAGTTTCCAGACGATATTTATTTATTTTGATTTCTGGCCCTCCCTTCCCTGCACAGCAAGGCTCAGGGCGGGTTAAACAACAAGATTAAGCACAATTAAATATACATACAATCATCAAGAGTTTTACAAAATCAGTAATCCTAAACCATTAGATGGCAATCCGTAGCACAGTAGCAGCTACTCCCAAGAGCCCTACATCTGTGTACCCATGATGGTAAAAATACGAAGCAAGTGGGTGCACAAGGAAAACCAAAGAGGATAAGATGGGTGGGGGGCCAATACAGATGGAGTTCTGTTGCTTCAGCCACAAGCCTGGTGGAGCATCTCCGTTTTACAGGCGCGGCGGAACGGCATTAAATCCCACAGGGCCTGGATCTCAACTCTGGTTGAGGCTAGGCAGATGTCTTTCAGGCTGGGGATCACCAGAAGATGATGGTCCGTAGAGCGTAAAGCTCTTTGAGGGACATATTGAGAGAGACGGTCCTGCAGATACGTTGGTCCCAGACCGCACAGGGCTTTGAAGGTAGCAAGGTACCTCCCCCCCCCCCCCAAAAAAAAAAGCTCCAAACCCCTGCATGCTAACTTCATCTTCTCAGAACCAAGCATGAACATGTGGTCCCTTGCCTCACAGACACATCTGTTTCCCAGCATTGCCTTCTGGGTCTTCACTTTCCCCCCCTGGTGTTTCTGGACAGGCGGAGGCAGCCTCTTTGCAATCCACGGCGACTGTGAGGCCTACGACACCCGCACGGACCGCTGGCATATGGTAGCTTCCATGTCCACCCGCCGGGCCAGGGTGGGCGTCGCTGCCATTGGGAACAAGCTATATGCCGTGGGCGGGTAAGAAGGAATTCTCTGCCAAGGAGAGGCAACTTTTTACAAAGCATGTTTTTTCGAGGAAGCGGTAAAGGTGAGGGAGAGAGAATGCTGTAGAAATCCTCCTTTAGGTAGCAAAAGGGGCTTGGTCAGGAAGAAATTGTAACTGAGCCTGTGCTCTGAAGATAAAAGGTCCATGGTTCAATTCCCAATGCCTCCACATAAAAAGGAGCTCAAGTAGCAGAGTGTTATGAAAAGCCCAAAGTTGACATTGTTGGGCGTCTGGCACCAGTCACCCAAACAGAGCCCATTGCAGGTGTAGCATCTGCTTAAAATGCAGTTCCAGTTCAGTCCTTGGTATATATCAAGCAAAAGGACCCCCTGATAGAGGCTTGGAAAGATCTCTAGCCTGAGAACCTAGAGAGCTACATGCGGGCAAATAGCACTGGGGTTGATTGATCAGTGTATAAGCTGGCAACGATCCTCCAAATTCTCAAACAGAGGACTTTTCCAGCGCTGATACCTGAGAGCCATGTAAACAGAGGTGATTGAGCATGAGACCTTTTGCGTACCAAGTTTGTGTGTGTTCCGTCTAGTAAGCTATGGGTCCTTCCCAGGAAAGGTAGCATGCTTCTGATGGCCAGATGCTTCTGATAGCCTGGTAGACATCAGAAGTAAGCAACATCCATCGTTCCAGCCCTTGTGGATTTCTCCAGAAGTATCTCTGTAGTAACTGTCAGAAATGCTGTGCTTGATGGGCCACTATGTCTGCCTGGGCCGTCCTTCTGCTCAAACCCAGTAGCTATTAACCTGATGGACAGGTGTTGTGGATGAGATTCGGAACTGATCCTAGTTCAATTCATGGAACCTTCAAAAAAAGAAATCTTTCATTGCAGCTACGATGGAACCTCTGACTTGGCTACGGTGGAGTCGTACGATCCAGTCACCAACTCTTGGCAGACGGAGGTTTCCATGGGAACCAGGCGGAGCTGTCTAGGGGTGGCGGCCTTACACGGTCTCCTCTACGCAGCTGGAGGGTATGATGGAGCGTCCTGTCTCAACAGGTAAGGGAAGATACCTTTGGAATCCAGCTGTCCCTTCTGCTCTGTGGTGGTAACTAGGCCACCGTGGATTGCCGAGAGGTCACTGTGGACATTGTCATAAGGGCCAGCGTCCTTTTTAGGTTTTCTTTAATTGGAAAGGTTTCTTCGATGTCTCTGAGGCTCCAGAAAGAGAGTTAAGTTATAGGATCACCCTGGCAAGTACTTGGAGGGGAGACCTCCAAGGAATACCAGGGCTGAGATGCATAGGCTGGCAGTAGCAAGCCACCTCTCTGACATGTCCTAGCCCCTCTAAGGGTCAGCAGAAGTCAACCACGGCTACCAGGCACACACACATACACAAAAGTTACAGGGTCACAACTCATCAAAGTTTCTGTGGCTGCCGATACACTTCTGATTCAAAGAGTGTTGGTTGTTACCTTGAAAGCTCTCCACAGCTTAGGAATGTAGTAGTTGAGAATTCTCTGCTCCCATGTGAAGTCTGGCCACAGTTCATTGGGGCTCTACTCATAGGGCCCTCACCTTCTGCAGGGGGAGGGGGGGATGCGTAGCCTCAAGGGACAAGATCTTATCTATGTTGTGTCACCTTGACTTTGGCATGCCCGCTACATCCTTGTTTATCTGGCATTGAAGCTGATGAGTATCAAGTACCAGGAAATCTGTATCATTTTACCCAGGACGTTTTATGTTCCGTGCTCTGGTCTGGTCTGCTGGATTGACCTCTTCTAGCAATGTTTATTGACTGCTGACCTTTTATTCATTGTGCTGCTATTGTTCTGGGTTTCTCTCCCCCCCCCCCCCCCCCCCTCTACTGTTGGCTGGTACTTCACTCCTCCTGGATTTTAACAACAGGATTCTAAACTGGGTTTTATGGGATTTGTTGTGATTAGGTTTATTCGGCTGCTGCTGTGTCCACACCTTATTCTTTTGAAATCATTCCTTACTGTATTTATGGAAGTTCTTGCTAATTGTTAACCACCCTGGGAGTCAATAAACTGAAAGCACATGATAGAAACATTTTTTTAAAACGATAGCCTGTTCAGCACCATTAACTTCTGTGACTTTTTTTAAACCAGCAGTCCCCTCTGCCTGTGAATATCTGTTAATTCTTGGCCTGTTTCTCTGTCTTGACCTGCCTCAGTGCCGAGAGATATGATCCCCTAACAGGAACCTGGACCTCGATCGCAGCGATGAGTACCAGGAGGAGATACGTCCGGGTGGCAACACTAGGTAAAGCCACCTTTATTTACTACTATCAGTCAATCAGTATTTATTAGCCAAAGGCCATTGCAGACTCACTATACATCCAGAGTGAAGAGATGTCAAACAACAAGTGACAGCAGTAAAATACAAAGGCGTTAAACCAAGTGACTTCTAGAGTCTAGACAATATTTAACAGGCAATTACCAAGTGTTAAAATTATTTAGTAAAATTTATCCTACAAAACCTATAATGATTAATTATTCAGCTGGCAAAACTCTGGGAACTCTGGGAAACCTTCAGCCTAAACTAAAAACTCTAAGCTGGGCCATTTTCATTTACATGGGGTCCATTTTCGTTTACATGAGTCTTTTCTGTAATTGTTTATTGTGCCATCTGTTGTTTTATTGGCTTTATCGCTTTTATTGTTTTATAAATCTTATGCTGTAAGCCGCCCTGAGCCCACTTGTGGGATAGGGCGGGGTATAAATTAATAATAATAATAATATACGCTATATATAAACTGTAATATAAACGGAGGCCTGGTAAAGCACCAGGCATTGACTTAATCCCTCCTGAATTAATAAAGAAGAACTCGGAATGGTGGCTCCCGATATTAACATCCTTATTTACGGCACCTGACAAGACCAGAAGAATTCCAAGGGATTGGGGCGTGGTGATTATCTTGCCTATTTATAAGAGAGGCAGTAAAGATGTGCCATCAAATTACAGACCGATTAGCTTACTTAGCACACTGAGTAAATTATATGCAAGAGATTTGCAGTGAATTTACTACTACCCAGGGGTCATTTTGTAAAAAAAGAGGTGCAGGAGCTCATTAGCATAACGTATTTGCATAACGTATTTGCATATGCCACACCCCCTGACATCACCGGACGTGTGTCAGAAAGCAACACCCACTGCTCAGGCTTCACTGGACTATTTCGGATGTCTAGCTATTGGGGGGGGGAGGCGGCGGAGTCTCCCTAGCAGAGGAGGGAGAGCTTGTACCTGAATAAAACTTGGTCTTAAAGGTGCCACTGGACTGTTTTGGATTGCTAGCTATGGGGTGTGTGTGTGTGTGCAGATCTGTCCTCGCAGAGGAGGGAGAGCTTGTACCTGAATACGCCCCCTGAGCTCCTTACTGCCGGAGCTCCACTCCTGTGCGCTCCCGCGGGAAATGACCCCTGCTACTACCTTTAGAGTAGACCTTTGTCACTGAAACTCAAGGCAGATGGTTCAGTTCTTTAAAATGCAGTAAAATCATCTTAACAGGGTTCCCCAGCATGGTGCCCGCGAGCTCAACGGTGCCCACCAGCACTTCCCTCCAATGTTTCCTCCAAGCTGTGGAGTCTTGTGAGCAAAACTTCTACTTTGAGAGCTAATGGCATTAAAGTTGTGAGCGAGCGATCTGACTACTGCATAAATCAGTTTGCTTTGGAGCCCTCCTTCCTGAGCTAAGACAAAAATGTGTGAGCCAAAGGCTCAAAAACTGTGAGCTAGCTCACACTAACTCAGCTTAGAGGGAACACTGGTACCCACCAAGCTTTTCAGAAATTGGGCGGGGCCATTGTAAGTCAGGGCTTGTTATTGGTTGCCCTCCTTCCAATGAAAGAGTTTTCCACTGGAAGATCAGGAGGCACTAAGAGGAACCTGGGCTTTCCTTAGCCTGTGTATGGTTCCATTCCCCCCTCAGGATTTCCTTCTTCGCAGGTTGTGTGAGGAGGGACGTATTCCATTTGGCTTGATCACCTGAGGTGGCCATTTTGGGTTTGGCTCTGCCTCCTGGGGCAGCCACTTTGGGGAGGCTCTTGCCTCTCTTGCTCAGAATTCAAAAGGTGCCCACAGGCTAAAAAATGCTGGGGGGGGGGGGTGGAGTGCCATATAATATATGTGCTTAGTTCTTGTGGCCCTTTCTTACACACCCAGGGAAATGCCAATTGCCACTTCGGGATCAGGAAGCAATTTTTCTCCAGGCCAGTTTGGCTGGAGATCCTGGAGGGTTTTTTTGGTCATCTTCTGGGCGTGGAACAGGGGTCACTGCCTGGGTGTGTGTGTGTGGGGGGGGGGTATTTGTGCATTTCCTGCATTGTGTAGGGGGTTGGACTAGATGTCCCTGGAGGCCCCTTCCAACTCTATGATTCTAGATCCTCCCCCTCTCCAAGATCCACCACAACTTGGAAATAAGTCCAATGGGAGGAAGGGACAGCTGTGAATTATCAGCTCCTGCCAAGTCTCCTCTGCAGACCCCTCCCCTCACTCAATTTTCTTACTTAATCTAGTGTGGAGGCGTGTAGTAGCCCCCCTCCCCCGACCAGTCATACCATCGTGACGTGCAGCCCTCCCCCACCCAGTCCCATCCCTTCAAAACACTTTTGCTCCTTGCTTCTAACAGAACTCTGCATCTTCTTTCTTTCATAATGAAGCCAAAACCTCAGGAGAAATCTAATTAGAAAACTGCTATTTTAGGCTGAGCACACCCTCATTGATATCACAGAGTTGGAGGTCCCTTCCAACTCTGTGATTCTATATACGGTAAAACCCACATTTGGGTTCATAATTTCCGCATGCATCCCTGGAGCATTCTTCCACACTGAGGAGCGGCAGTCCACCAACTGCAGCCGTTCTCTCACAAATCTGGGATGCTGGCGCAAACGGCAAAGCTGTGCCTGAGATGTTTGCAGAATGACTTGTTTCATGATGCTGCAGAACTGCTTCCTTTAGAGTTTGCGTGCAGGAGCATTATGTTCCTTCTGCTCCGATTAACTGCGTTCCATCCCCCTCCCTGGACTACTTAGTTATTCCCGCTCAGCTCATGAATGCAAGCGCACCGTCGTCAGGACACCGCATGCGCTGTGCGCTCCTGTGGTGGCCGAAGAGCCGCCCGTGCCTCACCTGTCGAAAAATTTCATCATGACAGCAGGGAGGACCGGCTGCGCCATAAAGCCGAGGTCGGGGAGGCGAGCCTGCCGGCGGTCTTGTCGGGCTGCCGTCTGTCACGCACAGAACAGCTCAGAAACTGCCTCATGAATGTTTAATGAGGCCCTGCACCAGAGGAGTCCGCCACCAAGTGGCAGGAAGGAACTCCGTGTCCGTGCACTATGAGATAATCTTCCCAGAGGGGCCTGTCTCAGAACTGGGGCCTGAGCTACGGCTGTTAATTGCTTTTGGTCTCGTGTTTCTGTACGTCTCAAAACGCTGCCTCTGTCGGGCTTAATTCGCACTGTGGGGGCCGGTTTGCCCTCAAGCTGTACCATACTACAGGAGGGGGGCTCCTGTGACAAAAAGAATTCTCTCTTTGCCTTGAAAATTAGATGGCACAGAAGAGGGTTTTAGCCTCTGCTGCTTCCTGACGTGCTAGTTTTCTGTGTGCAGGGAATTGCTTTTTAAGGAGGGGCGTTAAAGTTACAGGAGCCTCAACCTGGAGGCTGCCGTGGGAGAGGGCGTTGCCTATCTCTTTTTTTAAATATAATTTTTATTTTGAACTTTTTAAGGGAATACAAAGTAAAAAAAAGGGGGTAAGGGGAAAGAATAAAAGGTAAAATCAGGGGTGGGAAATGATCAGTAAAATCAGTAAAAGTCAGCTTTTTCATCTTGGTCAGTAATTTGTCAGTTTTTTAAAAAATTGGTCAGTAAAGTCAGTATTTCTTTGATTTTTGTGAACGCAGTTTGTGTTTTTCCGTTTTCATTGCTGCATTTTTGGGGAAACATGATGACTCCCCAGTGAGAAGACAGATTGTTTTCAAGTACTTTAAGGACTTTGTTCCTAAGAGTAAAAGTGATTTGGTGAAATCTTCCACAAAGTATTGCAACATAATTAACCTCTTAAAACAAGAGACAATGAAAGTAGAGGTGATGGATATTCTGGGATTCAACATGGCACAGTTCATGCTAGAAGGAGTTGAGAAAGCAATGGAAGAAGAGGACAAGGGAAAAAATGCTTGTGGGTGCAGTGCAGAAAACTGTTGAGAAATGAAAGAGTTTGTGAATAACTTTATTTATTCAATTTATACCCCGTCCTCCCTGCTGGAGCGGGCTCAGGGTGGCTTACAAAGAGATTAAACATATAGGTAACAAATTATATACGATCTTATATAATAAAACTCTACATTATCATAAAGTGCTAGTAAGTGATCAAGTACTTATAACAATGCTTACAGAAGGCAGAACCAATACTAGTGTTGTAATCAGATGATCTATATTGGTCTCTATATTTTGGCAACAGCACAGGCTGTTGGTGGTAAGCCAAGGACCAGGGCACTGTCACTTCTCAGTTACTTGATGTTATCTGGTGTGGCTCCTTAGTCGGAGGCCTGGTGGAAGTGCTCCATCTTGCAGGCCCTGTGGAACTGTAAAAGGTCCCGAGGGCCCTGATCTCTTCTGTGGGAGCTCATTCCACCAGTACGGAGCCACCACTGAGAAGGCCCTGGCCCTGGTTGTGGCCAGCCTGGCATCTTTAGGACCTGGGAAGCCAGTCAGTTTTGTGACCCTGGGCACAGTGGTCTCTGGGGAACATGTGGGGAAAGGCGTTCCCTCCGGTATGTGGGTCCCTGACCATAAAGAGCTTTAAAGGTAAGTACCAGCACCCTGAAGCGAATTCGGTATGCTATTGGCAGCCAGTGCAGTGCTTTCAGCACAGGCTGGATCTGCTCCCACATAGGGAGGCCCATCAGAAGCCTGGCTGCAGCATTTTGCACTAGCTGTAGCTTCTGGATTTGGGTCAAGGGCAGCCCCATGTAGAGAGCATCACAGTAGTCCAGTCTCAAGGTGACCACCGCATGGATCACTGTTGCCAAGTCACTGCATTCGAGGAAGGGAACCAACTACCTAATCAGCCAGAGGTGGTAAAAGGCTGATATGGCAGTGGCTGCTACCTGGGACTCCACTGTTAGTGAGACCTTGCAACACACATATTTCCAACAGAGTGCCCTAGGGAACTGTCCCTCCGATAGGGACTTGTTGATAATCTCCCTTAGGGCATCTCGAAACCCATCATGGCCAGCTTTAATTAGCCATGATGGGCACGGGTCAAGGCAGCACATGGTAGGGCGTACAGTTAAGAGCAGTTTTTCAACTTCCTCCAGGCTGAGCGGACTGAAATAATCCATAACCTGACTAGAAGACGTGCATGGAGCCTCGAGTTTACTTACTGTCGCAACTGTGGTGGGGAGGTCATGGCAGAGCGACAGGACTTTATCTGCAAAGTAGCTCACAAAGGCCTCAGAGCCAGTGTCCAATTCCCTAACATTTGATCTGCCTTGTGGCAGAACAGTCATAGACTGAATTATTCTAAATAATTGGGCTGGGCATCAGCTCGCAGACACAACCGTGGCTGCATAATACTCTCAGTGGCTTTGACTGCTATCTCATGGGATCTCATAAACGTCCTATAAGATGTTCTTGTGGCTTCATCGCAGGAGTACCGCTACTGTGTCTCTAGCCATCTTAGCCTTCGCTTCATCAGCCGCAACTCCTGGGTAAACCAAGGAGCCAGCCTAGAGTGAGGGCACAGAGGGCGTCGGGAAGCGATCTCATCGATGACTGCTGAGAGTCGTCAACTGTGCCAATCTTCCACAAACTCATCTAATGAGCCGCCAGGGGGCATCAGATCCTGCAGGGCCATTTGAAGCCACATAGGGTTTATTTGGCTCCACGGGCGAGCTGAAATCTGCTCACCACCCAAACAGGGTCGGGGTGAAACATTCAGATAGGCCTTCAGGACATGATCGTCCGACCATGGCACTGCTGAAGCAGTGACCCGGTCCACTGTGACCCCTGCTGTGAAGATCAGATGGAGCGTGTGTCCAGCCCAATGAGTGGGGGTTGTTACATATTGGGAGAGTCCCAGCGCCACCACGGATGACACTAGGTCCATCGCCTGAGTGGGGGCCACATCATCCGCATGGACATTCAAATCATACAGGACCAATCAATCTAGGGTGTTCCAATGCCCAGCCCAACATGGCCTCCACCAGGGATGGCAGGCTGCTGTCCAGTTCTTTTTTCATTAAAAAAAAAAAGATAAAGTAAAAGCAAAGACAAGTCTTACCTTACAGTAATTATGTTTTGTTGTCATAATTATTACTTTATGTTTGGTTTTTTAAATGTTTTTGCTGTTTTGCTGTTTTATTATCTGCAGTATGTGATTGTTTTTAAAAGGGAATCTTTTTTTGCCTTAAATTTTGTACAATAATGAAAACACTGTCCTCCATTCATTAAAAAAATTCAATAAAAAGGTGTGCAATCCTTTTATCTGGGCCATATCTAACTATGGGGATGGTGGAGGCCAGATAATAATCATTTTTAATGAAGTCCTAGTTATACATTTAAAACACTAGCTTATCAGTAGGCTGACATTAAATTGTTCAGTAATTTGTCAGTTTTTTGTCAGTATTTGGTCAGTTTTTTTGGAATTTTGGTCAGTAAAATCAGTATTTTTGACCCTCTGACTAGTTTCCACCCCTGTAAAATTACCAAAACATAGTATAAAGGGCATTTTCCCCCAAATATAAAGGACAATCCTTGATGCAAATACTTGAGTATTTAGGAAAATTATATAACATTATAAGTTTAAAAACCACTGTAACAACCTACTTCACATTCTACCATTTTCACATAATATATTAACATTTCTATCCTATCTTATATAATAAACCATGAACAACACCGTTGCCTGTCTCATTGAGCAGAATGTAACCAAATTATGGTCTCCAGTGTGGCTTTTTTTGTTACGGTGGTTAATGGATTGTGGGGTTTCTTTACAGATGGCAACCTATATGCTGTTGGGGGCTACGACAGTTCATCTCATTTGGCTACTGTGGAGAAATACGAGCCACAGGTAAACGTGAATTTGAAGAGGCAAAGCATGGAACGTTTTAGGAGAACAGGGTAAGGGTTAGGGTGGGAGGGTGGAATTATGCTACAGGCATTCCCCAGGGCGATGTAGGGGGTGCCACTGAAGGTGAAGGCTGAAATGTGCTGGGGAGCAGAATGGTGCAAGTGCTAGTGGGTGTCAATGACAGGCACGAAAATGGCACAAGCCCCGGTTTGCAAACCCAATTCAAACCGTGGCTTCTGTTTCTCATTTGCTGTCTGATTGGCAAACTATGGTTCTTCAGTTCAACCATCACGCCAAACCTTAGTTAAGCTTCCCTGGTGATGATTCGAAGTGATATCTGATTTGACCTACGTGTGCAAGAAAACGGGTGCTGATGGAGAAACAATCCCTTTGCTCTCTGTCTCATTTCCTCCCCCCCCCTTCCTTTGCCAACTCCTGCCACTAGATAAACACGTGGACTCCGATCGCTAACATGCTGAGTCGTCGCAGCAGTGCTGGCGTGGCTGTGCTGGAAGGGATGCTGTACGTGGCAGGTGGCAACGACGGGACCAGCTGCCTTAACTCGGTGGAGCGCTACAATCCTAAAACCAACACTTGGGAAAGCGTGGCGTCTATGAATATCCGGAGGTAGGAAAGCAGAAAGGTGTCCCAAAGAGACTTTGGGTTTTGCTTCCCTGACAATCTGACCACGCTCTCACACTGAAGCTACTATCAATCAGGGTTCCCGAACTTTTTGAGCCTGTAGGCGCCTTTGGAATTCTGGCACAGTACGGTGGGCATGGCCACAAAACGGCTGCCGTAGGAGGCGGAGGCAGCCCCAAAACAGCTGCTGCAGCTTACCTGCAGTCACACCATGAAAATCCTTCTGCTGTGGGGGCAGTTGCTGCCAAAGCAGTATTTAAACAAATCTGTATGGTAATCAAATCTCCAATAAGAACATCAGAGAAGCCAGTGTTGGATCAGCACTGAGAATGCAGAGCGTCACTTGTCCCAGACTGAGAGTTCCTGTCTATACCTTGTGGCTAATAGTCACTGATAGACCTCTGCTCCATATGTTTATCCTGTTTCCTCTTGAAGCCATCCATGCTTGTAGCCGCCGCCACCTCCTGTGGCAGTGAGTTCCAGGTGCTAATCACTCTTTGGGTGAAGAAGCCCCTCCTGGCCCTGCCTGCTTTCTAAAAACACTTGGCGGGCACCAGGAAAAGTGTTGACAGATACCATGGTGCCCAGTGGCACAGTGTTGGGCACCCCGGTCTACTCCGACTGTCAGCAGTATCCCAGTGCTTCCTGACCCTTGTGCATGCAAAGCGTGCGCCTCGCCCACTGTGCTACGGTCACCGAATCTTTGAAACAGAGTAGAGACCATCCTAAGGAGCTGCAGTGGCTCAGTGGTTAAGATGCTGAACTGCAGGCTGGAAGGCCGGTAGTTCAGCAGTTCGAGACCCGACATGACCACGGGAACATCTTCGGACAGCGCTGGCTCTTCAGCTTAGAAACGGAGATGAGCACCGCAACCCTAGAGTTGATTCAACTAGCTTTCAAGCAAGGGAAACCTAGATACCGTCCTAAATTGAGAGGACAATAAGTTGCCTCCCTTGATTTTCCAGCACCTTGCTTTGAGGGTAAAACCCTTTATGAACAGCTTTAAGAGGAGGATAAATCAATGGCAACTAGCCATGGTGACAGAGGGGAACCTCCACATTCAGAGGCACTAAGCCTGTGAATCCCAGAGCCAGGAGGTAACAGCAGGGGAAGGTCTTGGCCTCTATGCCCTGTTAATGGCCATCGAGAAGAACTGGTTGGCCACTGTGTGAGACAGGATGCTAGGCTAGAGGGGCTATTGGTTTGATCCAGCAGGGCTCTTCTGATGTTCTTATGAAAGCCTTGGCCTCTACACCTCATTGTTGGCTGTCCAGAGGAACTGGCCGGCCACTGTGCAAGACAGGATACTGGACTAGATGGACCACTGGCCTGATCCAGCAGGGCTTTTTTCAAGTTCTTCTCAGGGGAAGGACTCGGCCTCTGTGCCCTGTTGGCTGTCCAGAGGAACTGGCTGGCCAGTGTGTGAGACAGGATGCTGGACAAGATGGAACATTGATCTGCTCCAGCAGGGCTCTTCTTACGTTGTTATCAGGGGAAGGCCTCGGCCTCTGTGCCATGCTGTTGGCCCTCCAGAGGAACTGGTTGGCCACAGTGCGAGACAGGATGCTGGACTAGACAGGCCACTTTTCTGATCCAGCAGGGCTCTTCTGACGTTCTTGTTGTCTCTCATCTTCTCAGGAGCACCCATGACTTGGTGGCCATGGACGGGTGGCTGTACGCAGTGGGCGGCAACGACGGCAGCTCCAGCCTCAACTCTATTGAGAAATACAACCCGCGCACCAACAAGTGGGTGGCCGCATCGTGCATGTTCACCCGGCGCAGTAGCGTGGGCGTGGCCGTCCTGGAACTCCTCAACTTCCCGCCCCCTTCCTCGCCCACCCTGTCGGTGTCCTCGACGAGTCTTTGACAAAGAGTCCGCTCGCGCCTCACCACAAGGGGACTGCAGCATCTGTCGGAGCGCAAAGCCGGCTTGGCCTGACCCTTGTGGCAGCCACTCCCTGTGAAGGAAGGGATGGGGAGCGTTGGGTGCCGTGCTCAAGATCTTTCTAGTCATCAGTCCCGACAGGAGGTTCGTTTCTGGCCATTGTGGTGCAGCTCCGAGAAGGGATTTCTGGACTGCACTTCCTTAACGCGAGAGCCCCTCCGGCAAACGAGGACCTCGGCCGCTTAGGTCTTCACCATCTCCTCCATCATAGCTCCACCTGATTTTTGTCTGGTAATCTCAGACCAGTCTCAATTATTGTCTCCTGTTTCCACCACTGGATGTGACCTCTAACTCCACCTTGTGCAGTGGAGCTTTAAGACGACGCAGGAAGGAAACAAACCCAAGAGAGAAGGACTCTTGCAGGCTGTGTCAGCGGCTGAATGTAAGCTGTGAATGTCACACAGTTAGCCAAAACTTCTTACCAAGCCTATAGCGCACTGTTAAAAGACTTAACAGAGGCAAACGCCTCTCTCGCTGGTGTCTATAGAAAGGGATGCCTTAAAAAAAAAAAAAAACAAGAAACAGGGCTGGAGGGGAGCAATGACAACATCGCAAGACCTCTGACATCGTGGTCCCTCATCCTGTCGACCTGATTTGTGTGCCACCTGTTCTGACATTCCTCAGTCCTCTTTGGTGGCACTTGTTTGGGGGCATCCACCAATGTTCTGGCTCCAATATTTAACTTTTCTTTTTCTCATTGGATAGAAGCCAGTCTGAGGTATTGATTGCTCCCCCCCCCCCCCCCGGAGGGCTCTGAGTTCCTACTTTGAGGAGGATGTAAACTTAACAGGGTGGAACAGAACTGCAAAAGACTGCACATTTGCCGTTAGTTAATCTTGACTCTTTTTTTGGGGGGGCTGGTAGTTTACAGTTCTTTAAAAACCTTTTTATTTATTTTTTGTTGGATTTTCAGACAAATCCGGTATTCTCGCACCATTCTTCATACTCTTTTTTTTATTTAAGTATGAGGTTTGTGGAAAGAGAGCGAAAAGCCAAGTGAGGTGCTTTTCGAAACACATGTACATATTTTGCCAGCGAGTGCGGTCTGATGAGGGGGAAAAAGGAAAATTTGGTACAAAAGCGCCATTGAAATTAATGGGGGGGGGGCTCCCTCTGCGATGAATGGGGGTTGTGTGTCGCAAACCCTCCTGAGCTCTTTTCCTTTCAAAGTGGTGGTATCCGGTTCCTATTCATGTCAACAGGACTGTCCTGTTTCTTGCATAACTCTAATTTCACTTCAGTGGCGCTTGCAGAGGAAGAATTCCTCACGGACCACAACTAGTATAACTGACTCAGAAGAAGGATTTTCTTTGGAGAAGTATGCGTGTGTGTGTGAGAGAGTGAGAGAGCGTGTGAAAATGTCACATGCATTTCAGAAGAACCTGCACTGAAGGGGCGGCCTGATAATCAGGCCAATGTCCCTCACACTGACCCACCACTTGAACATAACAAAACGTTATCCACTTGAGTTCGTACTGTAAAGCCAACCGTTCCGTTATCCAAGACCCACCTACACCATGAAAAAACCACCTCTCTTGGGAGGCGGAGCGTGGGGCTCCTTACAGACACTGTTTCACTTCATTATGCACCGTATTGCGATTTATGTACAGTCGACAGCTTGGGGTGGGGTGGGGTTTTGGGGGCTTCAAGACAAGCCATTCTAAGTTCAGCCACATCCATTGCAATGGATCGAGCTCTTGTACCTCAAGTAGCCTTGGATGTGATTCTTCTTTGGACTCTTTATGCAGCTCTCTGGTCTGTTCGCTGAAGGTCTTTCTCTGTATTCTCCCTCCTCCTTCCCCCCAGTCATCAGTTCAGCTCCACTTGTGGCAATAATGGGCATCTCTTTGCAAAAAAAACAACAACACCCCAAACCCTTGTTTGTATATGACAAGCCTGTCTCTCCTGCATGTGTTTACATCAAGGGACTGCACTTGTGGTGCACTTTCGGGCTTGTCTTCAGCAACTGGAGATGGGTTCAGAATTGTGCAGACTGCTGGCTTTTTCACACTGCAGGACGGGCTGCAGTCCTGGTCAGGATGGGTGCTTCCTCAGTCTTGGCGGTAATGATGGAAGGAAGGGCTATGCAGATGACAAAGCCTGGGCAGTGCCAAGGAGCAACTGATCTGGCCAGGTGTGCGTGTGCCAATTCCCTTTTTCACCCAGGCATGGAACTTGCTTGCAGTCCTGGTTTTTTCTGGCACTGTGGTGTAGATCCTGAAAGGTCTTCAAAACTAGTCCGTTTCCGTAAAGCCTTTTTTTTTTTTAAAGGAAACTCCTATCCTTTGATATATGTAGCCCTTCATTAAATGCTCCTGACCCACTGGTAGAGGAATGGGGCATGCATTTTGTGGAAAAGGTGCTCAGCAGGTACTTTTTTTCAGTCTGAGCACCTGACAGGAGAGGAGGAGAGTCCTGCCGCCTGCAAGCTTCACCAGAGCTTTGCCTGCCGCAATACATTTTAGGAGGATAGAGTTGATTTTTCAATCAGTGCCTTCAGTTGCCTTTTTCGTTGTCGTCATCATTCGCGGTTGTGGTACAGTTAAAACCACGTGACCGCAGCCTGTCTGGCATTTTTTTTTCTTGTTGACTTCTTATTTTCCAATTATCCTTTGTGCATTTGCAATGCCGCATATCAAAAGAAAGAAGGAAATTGCTGATGCTATGAAACCATTGTAGGATGGGCCTGATGCTGGTTGAAATGTCATGTGCTTGTCTGGACTGCTTCCTATCTTAAAGATCCCTTTTGGTCCAGGCAACTCTGAAGACCGTGACCAGCATGGTCCATCGAAGTTCACACTACTGCCCCTCCATCGGGAAGATGTCCTGAGGGAAAGGATGTCTGTGAGTGTCTTTGGACCAGGGGGCCAGAGTAGCAAAGAAAGAATGTGAGAAGCAATCACTTCTAGCAGGTCACAGCCCTTGTTGAGTAGGATTCCCCCCCCTAAAATGGGTTATCCACACAGTCTGTTTGTGGAAGATTGCAGATGCCACGGCTGAGTTCTCTGGGTGGTTATGTTTTGAGGGCAACTTCCAGCATCATCTGTCTTGGAAAAAAAAAAAAAGAACAGGAATCACTTCATGAGCCATTCTGTTAATGTGCCGTGTTATGTCGAAAGCAGGCTGGATGCTTTGATTTGTATGATTGGGGGGGGTCAGCTGACACCCGCCTTCTTGGCCTGGAATTTGACAGAAGCCCCTAACATTTCAAAGAGAGAAGCAATGAAGATAACTGAGATTCATGACCCGGAGGATGATGGTAGACACCAAAAACAAAGTGGGCAAAGATGTACTACTATGGCCAGCCAGAAAAAAAAGCCATCCGTGGTCTCTCCGTGTGCGTCTCTGTGCTTTTCCTTTGGTGTTTCCTTAATTCATCCCACTCTGACTATAAACTCCAGTGACTAATCTAAACATGACTTCGAAGTGCTTTTCATCCGGAATATGTCACTGTCTCGCGCAGGCTTGCTGCCTTTGGGGATCTATTTCTTTATCCAGAGCTGAGCATGTATTGTCCAAAGACAGTAGCAAAGGTGAGTGAGGAGGAATCAATGACTCCGGTTCTTTCTCTCTCTCCCCCTTCCCTTTCACATCCTACAGGAAATACAAGCTCTGGCTTAGCTGTGGTGCAGACCCCAGTTCACTCGCCCACGGTCGGAACAGCCGCCTTTAATTTATTGGTAACGTGTGTCAAAATTTATTTATGTGCATTTTGGTTTTGGTTTTGTTTCTGAATTTTTTGCACTATAATGGGGGTGGGCTAGGGATATGAGCAATACAAGCCAGTGTGTAAAATAAATTGGTTTCTTTTTCTTGAATACTCCAGATTGCTTGCTTGCTTGTCTCTCTCTCTCCACTCATTTCAGTTTGTAACCCGAGGAAGTTCTGCATTGTGGTTTACGTAGTCTATGGGAGACAAGCTAGGGGGCCTCAAGGAACTGGGGTGGGGGAGAAAAATGTGAAAATCTGCCCTTCATCTAAACCAGTGCTTCCCACCCAAAATGTAGGTCACAAAGCCTGTGAAAGTGGGTCACAGACCAGCCCTCCCTATGGTCACTCATGCCTTTTATATCACTCTTTCTATCTTCATCAATTCACATTCCTGCCTTCCCACCTCCCTTTCGGTAGTAACTGGAAGAAGCGGGGAGGGAAGGTTGGAGACTTGGTAGGAGCTATTCAGTACATGGAAAAGCAGGAGGAGGAGAAAAAGAGGTGCAAGACACAGGTTAGGAAATAGGGTACCGAAAAACCTTGGGTCAGCCTTGGGTGGATTACTAAGTAACTTTGGACTTGTGCTTCACTGTACAAAAAAGGCTGAGAACCACTGATCTAACCCCTTGCGGGATTCTGTATGTTCTCAGATGTTTGAGCAGCCCAGTTTCCCTGTCTCACTCTCTATTATCCCCCCGACCTTTAACGGCTCTTAATGCTTCACGCTTGCTGGATCACGCACATTTCATCATGCAGCTTTGGGGTTTTTTCTTCCTTTGGTTAATTTACAAAGTCTCCTTTTTCCCCCCCTGGGTATTTGAAGAGTCCCTCGAGATCTGTAGAAAACTGTCGATGGCACAAACCACCCACTTTACTCTCTGATGTCTACTAAATTGATAGAACTTTGTGCAGTAACATTCGGAATCTGCTTGGCTTGTTCCAAAATGGGCCTGGCAAGTGAGGTGGTAACACTGTCATCACTCGCCCTGACCTGGGTAGCCCAGGCAAGCCAGATCACGGGAGCTAAGCAGGGTCGATTGTCAAGTACTTGGATGGGGGACCTCCTTGGAATACCAGCAGTGGGGAGGCGGGGGCAGGCTTTATCCAGCCACCTCTCTGAATATTCTCCAGGCCCCCAGTAAAGGTCAGTCATGAGAGGTCGCCATGATTTCCAGGTGCACACACACACACGTGTGCACATGAAAAATACCAACCCTCCCCCCCCAAAAAAACCTGTTGTCACTACCGCTTCAGGCATTGCATGTTTTTCTTTATGCTTTTAAAAAACTCCCTGTATATAGAATACCAGCTAATCCATGAAGAATTCTAGGCTTCTTCCTAATATGCTATTTTTCTGTGTACAGGGATTTATTTATTTTTTATTTTTTTATAATGTTTATTTAGGTTTTTCCATAACAAAACACAACACAAAAATATATTGATTTACATTTTTTTGAGTATTCTTTATACATTTTTTCCAAACCATCTATCTAATTTCAGCCATCTATTTTTAAACACTTCGTCATCTTTTCCCGCTAAAATCATATTTAGTTTATCCATTTCTTTTATTTCCATAATTTTTGTAATTAATTCATCTCTAGTTGGTAATTTGTCTGATTTCCAACACTTAGCTATGAGAATTCTGGTACTAGTGAGGATGTATAGTATCAAGCGCAAATCCTCATATTTTAAACCTTCTGGTAAAATGTTTAATAAGTAAATTTCTGGATCCAACGGTAGGTCTATTTCTAGTATCTCCATTATTAACTG